AAGTTTTTATTCTGGGAGTTTCCTGTACCCTCAGTTTTTATGATCTTATTTATAGACCTCATCTAACTTAATATTTGGTAGGCAACAACCAACTAGATGAGAAATGAGACTATTAAATATATTCAATCTTTTTCACAATGCTTTCTTTCAGATATGCTCTCAGATCAAGCACCGTAGCTACACGAACTGTCTTTGCAATTATTCCTTACCCATCTATAAATATCTCAAAATTCTTAGCTACCAAGTTCAAGATTTGCAAAAGGGTTCAGTAAAAATGAGTAAGGTTATGAAAACAGTCATAAACTGGGGCAGGGTTAGGAAAGTAATAATTATGCCCCCAGTAGCTTTAGACAAGAGCTGAAGATGGCATGATACAAAACCAAAGCCTCAATGTTGTAGCTCAAATACAATTGCCTAATTAAAATTGAGTTATGTATTGACAGATAGAGATAAGATATGGCCAAAAACTGCATTTGGAAATTTCACAATTATATGTGAAGAGTGAATAATCTTGGCAGTCCTATGAACTGCTGGTTGGCATGCACATTGGAAAAACCTTCACTAAGGGATTACACTCTTAGGAATCTACCATACAGAATTACTCGTACAAGTGCCTTATGATAATGCATTTGGGAATATTTATCTCAATGCTGTTTGTCCTAGTGGAAAGTCACAAGAAACCTGAAAATCCATTAAAAGGGACTTGTTTGAAAAATATTAAGGTAAATGGGACACTGTGCAGCCTTTTTAATAAAATGAGGAAGAACAGTATGCAGTTGCACTGATCATAAAGTATGATTTCACTGTCAGGAAAAAACAGTAAATATACATATATAAACATTGATATATTCATATGCTATGGATTGGATGTTTTTTCCCTCCAAAGCTCATGTTAGAACTTAATCCCCAATATGTTATTTGAAAGGTGAGGCCTTTAAGAGGTGATTGGATCCTGAGGACTATGCCTTCATGAAAGGATTAATCCATTCATGCAGTAGTGGGTTATCAGGGAGTAGACTTTGGGCTTTATAAGGAGAGGAATAAAGGATGTGGAAAGATTTGCAAAACAGTTCAGTAAAAGTGGAAAGTGCTCTCCTGCTCAGTCCTTGTCATCTGGACCCTCTGTATCACCAGGGGACTCTGTAGAGTCTCCACAAAGAAGACTCTCACCAGAAGCGCACTTTATACTGAAAGAATAGGATCCTCATCAGTAAATAGAGATGTATAGGAACAGTCAGACTACATCTACGAAGTGTCAATATCAGGCTGCGGCTTCAAAGCCAAAATGGTGTTTGAATGTGAAGTGGAATTTTAGTTGGCGTAGAAGACAGACGGCAAGGAAGGTGGATCCAATCATCACGTGGAGGCCGTGGAAACCTGTTGCTACGAAGAATGTTGATCCGTACACACTGCTGGAAATGGTAAAGGGGGTTTCGAGGTATTCTGAGATTTGGAGGAGTGTAAAGTAAGTGCCCAGGGAGATTGTGATGAAGAGGGCTTGGGGCATATGTTTGCGTTTTCCTTCTATGAGGCTGTGGTGGGCCCAGGTGATAGATACTCCGGAGGCTAGCAGTACTAATGTGTTGAGTAGTGGAACCTCCATGGGGTTGAGAGGGTTGATGCCTGCTGGTGGTCAGTAACCTCCTAGGCTGGGGGTTGGGGCTAGGCATGAGTGGTAAAAGGCTCAGAAGAACCTGTCGAAGAAGAAAACTTCGGATGTAATAAATAGGATTATTCCTTATTGTAGTCCTGTTTGGACAATAATTGTACGGTGGTCCTGGAAGGTGCTTTCTCATACTACATCTCGTCATCATTGGTACATGGTTAGTAGGTTAGTCAGTAATCCTAGGGTTAGTAGGGTGTTGGAATTAAAGTAGAATCATATTGTTAGGCCAGATGTTGTGAGTAAGGCGGATAGGGCTCCTGTGAGTGGTCAGGGGCTGGGATTTACTATGTGGTAGGCGTGGGAGCTTTGGACTTCCCAGCTTCCAAAACTGTAAGAAACAAATTTCGTATTTTGTTTTTCTTTTTACAAATCACCCAGTTTCAGGTATTCTGTTACAAGCAACAGAAAATGGACTAATATAGCATAAAAATGTCTGGAAGGATGTTTGAGGCAGGTAACAGAGGGGATTGGAAAGACAGGTGAGTAAGAAAGAGACTTTGACATTTTAACTTATACGCCTACATAATTCTGTATTGCTAAATTTTTTTAAATAGTAGTTAAGTATTACTTTCATAATTAAATTTAAAAGATATTTTTTAAAAAATCGGTATTTTAATAGGTTTTGATTTCAAGGTCCATAGTTGAGTCCACTGATGAATTAAGTAAAAGCAACCGAATGAAGGTTTTAGATACTTGGAATTTTTTAAATTGGCTTCTAGGAGAGAGTGCATGAAATCTACTTTCCATGCCAATCAAGTTCTGCCCCTCCCACACACAGGGGGAACTCGTGTGGGGTGTGAAACGACATACTTCACTTGCTAGCACTGAAGCATTTGGCTTTGATTAGAATCCAATTTAAATATTTACTTTATATTCACAAAATAATGAGAAATGAGACTACACTCTTGAAATTAGAATGCACATTCTTGAACAAAGAGGGGGAGGTATAACACATGACTGGGAATATAGTCACCAGATTTAAAAAATATAGAGCAATTCTGTTGAAATAAAGCCCCGTATACCAGTTCCCTAGCTAAAACTATGGGGAAAAATCATAGTTAAAGCTTTTCCAATAAATATAGAGTATGTTCCTAGTCTAGTTCCTAGAGGATTAGGTAGAGGTACACTATTGTATTTTAAATTTTTAACTATTTTTAAGGGAAGATAGAGGATAACACAATATTCCTTAAAGATAATAGGCAGGCAACATAGCAAATAAAGCAGCACAAAATGTTCTCATCTTAAAATCCCTTATAACAGTTTGTTTTCTCATCAGCCGTGCTTACCCAAGCAAAGTTAAGTGGAAAACAAAAAGAATTATCTGAATGATCAGAGGAAATGATTACTTTGGCCTTACATATCTAGACATTTGAGGCAAATGGGTCTCCCACCTCCTCATCAGCCGTGCTTACCCAAGCAAAGTTAAGTGGAAAACAAAAAGAATTATCTGAATGATTAGAGGAAATGATTACTTTGGCCTTACATATCTAGACATTTGAGGCAAATGGGTCTCCCACCTTCATGAAATTATCAAGATAATCTTCTCAGTTCTCCACTTCAAACTCTCTACCTCACATGCAGGGACTGACTACACTGGGATTAGAGTGGACCACAATTTGACCTTTGTGGTGATTGCTATTCATCATAAAGCTTGGTGGCCATGGTCCACATGGGCCCTTTCTGGAACTTAGCACAGTAACAACCATGTGTGGACGGTGCCACTGCCTGAGTATGTGTTGAAAGCATGCCAGGATTTTCCTTGTTTTTCTCTGCTGGTGATTCATAACTAACAAAAGCATGATCTGCTTTGGTACTAAAGTACCTTGCTTTTGCATAAACATATCTTGCCTTTCAATTAGATTCTTCTCCCCTGACCCTGGGATGGATGCTATGCAGGAACAGGAAGCACAGAGGGTTTTTTTAATGGCCATTAGAAAATTTGAAAGCTCAGGTTAGTCATTATCATACTTGTTCTGTTCAATTATTGCCTTGAAGCCCTGTATTATGATATTTTGCTCTAGTGTGACATCTCTTGGTGTTGCTTTACCACTTTGATAAAAAGGGAGACAATCACTCCTGAATATTATAAAACAATTTCTGATGGTTTTTGGTAAGCTCTCAAACTGTAAAAACTATAAGATGTCCATGAAATACTTATGGCTTCGATTAGGAATTTCCAAGAAACTCACCTTTAATACTCAAAAATGTTTCAAGCACCCAAGACAAGAAGATCAAACTTGGACAAAGGTATTACCTTATTCATTTATCTTAAAACATGAAACTTAAAACCTTCCAGTATTCAGAGAAACATGGCTGCGTCAGACTAATAGTCTTATAATGCTCCATAATTTTTTATAAGAAAGAATAAATTTCAAAAATATTTGTCTTTCCACATTCCTGATCTTTGACTTTTGTTTCCAACTGCAAAGATGAACAAAATAAATGA